GAGCGGGGAGCCCGATGTGGGGCTCGATCCCAGGACCCTGAGATCATGACCTGAGCCAAAGGCAGACGCTTAACGACTGAGCCATCCAGGCGCCCCACATCAGCCATTCATTTTCTCCCTATCGAATGCTTTGGGCCAACACTAACAAAATTAAATTTGACAGGGATAAATGTGAAGTCCCTAGGAATAAACATGCCATTCAACAAAAACAAGTTGGGGGAGGTGAGCCAGTTCTTGAGAAAAATTCCTGGGAGCGTGAATCGACGCTGGGTCCCATTAACAGAAGCATAGAGTCCAGAGGAGAGGAGGGGACAGCTCTGCTGTGCTCTGAAACACTGGGTTTGGTGGTGGGAGCTGAGAGTTGGAAGCTGACCCAAAGGAGCTAGGCTGGAGAAGTCTCTTGGAACCATCAATAAAGAAATGACTGAAGGAACTGAAGATGTCTGACCTAGAGAAGATTTCATTTAAAGGAATTACCCAAATCCTTGACTCTAGGGGAAGGGAGCAATCTCTTTCACTCCATGTACCAAAGGCAAGTGGTGCATTCTTCTCCACGGCCCCCCTGCTTTAGACTAAGGTTGGGGATAAGGTTGATGAGGATGGGGGTCAGGCTTCCTGCCTGTTAATAAGGTCTGCTAGGGGAGGGTCTGGTCTCAACTGTTGGCAGCTGATAGGCCATCCCTTGCCCTCAGCTCTGGGCCTCACCTGCAAATCCTGGGCAGCTGGAAAAGTAGCTTTGGCTTCCATCCTGTCAGACACATTGAGTATTTGAAGGGTCCACACATGACAGACAGATTCTTTTATTCCTAGGGATTATAAGTAGCACCAGTGGATGGAGTTTTATGGAAGCAGTGATCTTTCAGGAACTTCAAAGCTAAAGCTGTTTAAAAATGGAACGTCTTGGGGAGGTAATGAGGTCCCCGTGGCTGGCAGTTACGAAAATGGGAGAGAATCAGGAGAGGATTCGGGGCCCCGATGGGGACATGCACCAGATGACTGGCCAAGCTGCTTTGAAAGCCTGAATCTGAGAGACCGCGTGAGCTTCACTCCAGCACACTTAACAAGGAGATGCCCAGTGAACCTGACTTCTTACCCTTTGCCCGCGGGCTCCCACAGCTGGCTGAGGAGCAGGAAGACGGAACATGACCATGAGCAAAGCACCTTCATCTTCCTGTAAGGCTGCACTCCCCCCAGGGGTGCATGAGGCACGCTGCATTTTCTCCCACACAGCACAACACGTGTATGAGCTTCCTAGGGCCCCCATAACAACAGAAATGTATTGTCTCACAGTTGGGCGGGCCGGAAGTCCAAAAGCAAGGTGTCAGCAGGGCGGTGGTCCCTCCGAGACCCTAGTAGGACCTTTCCTTGCCTCTCCCTAGCTTTTGGTGGTGGCGGGTAATCCTTGGCATCCCTTGATGTATAGACACATCACTCTGGTATCCGCCTCTGTCTTCACATGACCTTCTCCCTTGTGTGTGTCCCTTTCCACATTTCCCTTTTTTTTTTTTTTTGGTAAGAACACCAGTCCCTGAATTCAGGGTCCCCCTGAATTCAGTGTGACCTCATCTTAACTTGCTTAGATCTTTAAGACCCTATTTCTAGGGCACCTGGGTGGCTCCGTTGGTTAAGCGACTGCCTTCAGCTCAGGTCATGATCCTGGAGTCCCGGGATCAAGTCCCGTATCAGGCTCCCTGCTCAGCAGGGAGTCTGCTTCTCCCTCTGACCCTCTCCCCATCATGTGCTCTCTCTCTCTCTCATTCTCTCTCTCTCAAATAAATAAATAAAATCTTTAAAAAAAGGACCCTATTTCTAAATAAAGTCACATTCATGGGTACCAGGGGTTAGGACTTCAAATCCATCTTTCAGGGGGACATAATTCAACCTCCAACAATGCCCATTCCTTCCGTCTGTACATAAGAGTTCAGTGTGGAAGGCGAGAAGGAGAGAAGAAAGGAAAGGTAAAGGGGTCAATGCACCACTGCGTGCATGCTTTCAATGTATCTCTGAGCATAATTGTACGTGGTGGGATCTACAGTGTGTGCACACAGCCCCAAGAACGAGATTCTGTGGGCTAGTTGAATTCATAAACCATTAACTGTGGATGACTATGCAGCCACTAAAAAGAATGGGTTCTTTAAAACAGTCAATATGTTGGACAGTGTAAGTTCTACTTACAGTTTCTATCAAATATAAAATACCTCTCCTAAATGTGGAGTTGAGGTGAGCAAAACCTATTGAGGGAGCATTTGGAGCAAAGGTATCTGTATGCAGGCTAACAGTTCAAAACCTGAGTTTTGTTTTCAGATTGAATATATAAATATATTCCTTTCCGCATTTCTGCCAAGGGCATATTTTCCTTTCACGTTATCAGTACCGGAGTAAGCTTTCCTGTCCTAGACTCTAGGCTATTTCTCGCCAGGGTTTCCGGCGACTGTTGGATTAGTATCAACTTATTATTTTTTATTAAAAATAAAGTTTTCCTAGAAGTTAAATCTATAGGTACTGACCTGGAAGGATGTTTGTATATATTGTTAAATGAGAAAAGCAGGTTATGGATTGAAGCATAATGTAGAATTCCATTCAAAAAATAGGCATCCTTGAAACCACTTTTATCAGTCCTTTATAAAACTAACCTATCATATGACTCAGCAGTTGTACTCCTGGGCATTTATCCCGGAGAATGAAAACTTAGGTTCACCCAAAAACTTGTACGTGAACGTTCATAGCAACATTATTAGAAATAGCTGTGAAGGGGAGTAAGTCGGAGGGGGAGACGAACCATGAGAGACGATGGACTCTGAAAAACAAACTGAGGGTTCTAGAGGGGAGGGGGGTGGGGGGATGGGTTAGCCTGGTGATGGGTATTAAAGAGGGCACGTTCTGCGTGGAGCACTGGGTGTTATGCACAAACAATGAATCATGGAACGCTACATCAAAAACTAATGATGTGATGTATGGTGATTAACATAACAATACAAAATTAAAAAAACTAATGATGTAATGTATGGTGATTAACATAACAATACAAAATTAAAAAAAAAAAAGAAATAGCTGGACACCACAGGTGTGATCGCTTTGAACAGTCAGATGTCGCAAACCATGGTACATCCTGGCTGTGATACTATAATTTTGCAGGATGTTACCGTTGAGGGAGACTGGGTAGAGGGTACATGTATTATGTCTTACGACTGCTGACACATCTACCATTATCTCCAAGCAAAAAGTTCAATTTAAAAAAATGGGGGGAACCTCACCGAGATGTACGCGCTCAGGTGTGCACACAGAGGAACATGCGGGAAGATACACACGGTTGGCCTCTGGAAAACCAGTCTGAAGAGACGTTATTTACTTTTTCGTTGCCAACCTCTTACTATTTGACTTGGTCCAGCAAGCACGCGTGACTTGGTGATTTTGTTTAGGCTCATAAAGTGGCCCGAGAAAGGTGTGTGGGGAGAGGGAGGACCCGTAGAGGGCCCGCCTAGCCCACCGCTGCCTGGAAAACCCTCGCTCTGGGTTTCCATGAACACCCCGGATCTGGGGCGTGGGAGGCTGGCGTGAGGGGAGGGCGTGGCCGGCCCGCTCTGGCCTCCGTGGGGCCCACCCTCGGGCTCTGTCCTCCTACTCACAGCCCCTCGTGCTTCTCCACCGACCCAGGCGCTCATGGAAGAGTAAGGACCCGCAGAGGGTCCTCCCACCACCCCTTGACCAAACCCGGCCCACCCCCCCCAATGGGTCCTTGAGGGCCCTGGGCCTTCAGGAAGCAGGGGTCCTCACCCAGCACCCCGGCAGAGGGGAAAGCTTGGGGAGGCTAATTGGTAAACGGGTGGAAGGGCAGCGTGCCCCGCACTCGTCGGGGGCCTCTCTCAATTGGAAGCACCGAGAGACAGATGCCGGTCTGGCGCAGGCCCTGCTTCTGACACTGTGCCTCCAACCGAGAGGTCAGGCCGGGCTGTGGGAGGCCAGAGGCCCGCCTGGCAGCAGCTGCACAGCAAGAACTGGCCCCAGTGTTGGAAGCAGCCCCAGCCCCAGCCGTGCAGCGTTGTCAAGAGGGGCTCCTTGCAGAAGCAGGGAGGCCGAGCCAGGCATGGGGGGCAGGGGTGGCTGGCAAGGCAGGGCCTGACGCCCTGGGGTCCCACTCTCGACCTGTGTCCCCTTCTGTGCTGGGCGTTCCCAGACTGCAGGGGAGCAGGGGCTGAGAGAGCGGGACAGAAGCTTCCAGAAGGGAGGCCTGGCCTCTCCTCCAGGATGTCCTGCCTCCCCCTCTGTGGAGGCTACTTCTCAGAGCGGGGAAGGGAAAGCAGGTAGGAGATGGTCTCGGCCTTTCTGGAATGTTCTCTGGCTCCATGTTCTCTTCCCTCCATCACACTGATTCGGAGTGTGTGTTAGGAGGGATTTACAAGTGTTTACAAGAGAGGAAAGACAGACAGACATCCCAGGGACAGATTTCATCCCGACTCACCTGACCCAGACCCAGACCTTCCCCCCAAGATGGCCCCCGGCCCCTCCCCCTACTGAGTCCAGCCACAGAACCTCCTACCACTCCCCAGGCTCTGACCCCAGTCCTCCCTTTTCTCGGCTTCCTCCTCTGCCCTGAAGGCCCCCTCCCCCTGTTCCCAGGGGCAAATTCTTTGTCATTTTTCTCGATGGTTCTGCAGTCCCCTTGGAAGGGGGATCGAAGGTCCTGCTTGCCCTGAGCAGTTCAGCTCGATGCACCTTGTCCCTGCATAGTTATTGATGGTGGGTCTTTCACTCTTACAGGCGCCCAGACATGGACCATGAGTGAGATGGTCACCCCCGGGGCTCTGCCCCGCCCCGTGCGGTCCTTCTCTGTGTGTGTGCCCGTCCCCGCACAGACCGGGGATGCCAGAGCGGGCCTGTCTCCTCTCTCCGTGCCCCGGGCCTGCCCAGAGCCTGGTGCACACGCCGTACACGAGGCTGGAGTGAGTGGGCGCGTGAACCCTGCAACATTTACAATGTTCCTTCCCTCTTGCTCTCCCCAGGGATCTATAAAGGCCACTGCTTCCGGATCAATCACTTCCCAGAGGACAATGACTATGACCACGACAGCTCGGAGTATCTCCTTCGTAAGTGTCAAGAATCTTTGGCTTCCTTGGTGTGCATGGAGCAGGGAGGGGTGCGGCTGGAGGAAAGACGGGCCCTGTGCGGGTAAAGGGGGTGCTGTGCTCGGGATGCTCTTTCTCTCTCTTTCTGATTCAGAATTGTTCGTCCAGAGGATGGACTTTTGTCCAATGCTGCTGTGACGTGCTGGGTATCCCAGTGGACTTCCTTGGTGGGTAGGCCCGTGTCTGGGGAGACTGAGGCAGAGCCGGAGCAGATGAGGGTGTGGGCGTCCCGCTCCCCAGGGCTGCTGGTCATGGCTAGTTTCAGAGTCGCTGCTTGTTGCCGCTGTGCCTGGGACAAGGAGGTTAGAGACGTAGGCTCACCCAGGCCAAGCATCCCGGGGCGGGGCGGGGCCGTGACACCCCAAGTACTTTGCCCTGCCAGCCCTGCACCTGCCCATCCCACCCCACACACCCAGCATTCTATTCTGGAAAAATCAGAGGAGGCCGCACCCTCAGGCTGCCTGGGGAAGAAGGCAAGGGGGTGGCTCTCGGCACGAGCTGGGGGAGCCACGGCCTGTGCCCGGGGCCTGGGGCTGGGTCGGCCCCAGACTGGACCTCGCAGCATATACTGGACAAGGACAAACCCCGTCCCACACCCTACAACCGGATCTCACCCCTGGGCCTGCGAATACCTCCCTGGGAGGAAGGATGGAGCCACAGCCAGGGAAGTGGCCTGGAAATGGAAGAACACCACCATTTTGAGGCCACTTTCCCTTTCGCATTAGCTAAGACACACACACAGCTGCTCACAGCATCCCCCTCGGGGGCCGGGGCCTGGCTTCATTTATGGAGAATCGATATCAGCGTCCTCAGAGGGAGCAGAATTCACTCTGCACCTGCTTATGGATCGTTTGGGTTTTGTTTTTTTCCCGAAGAGAAAGGATTTGAGTTCTGAGTCATCTGGTGAAACGGTACAGTGTGTGGTTCCCATGGAGCCTGGGGAAGTGCTGGGCAGCTCTGGCTGAGCCCGGGACCTGAAAAACTTTGGCCAGATCCGCCTCCCAACCCTCCTCCCTCACCTTCTCTCCTTGCCTGTCTTTTCTTCCTGCTTTCTGTGGGGCCAACACTGAAGCAAGCAAATAATATCCCATAGGGCCACCGCACATGGCCATGCATCTCACGCACTGCTCAAGGAATGCCACGTACATAGACTTATGGTATAAGTGACACCCTTGAGTTGTACAGTGCGTGGCCTGCACAGCCATCCGGGGCGACCCCTGGTGCTCAGCCTGGCGGGGATGGCTCAATTAGATCGATCCAGAACCTGCCATTCTCGGCCCTACCCTGGGCAATCAGGTGGTTCTTAAGGCTCTGAGAGCAGATTTGCCCCACTGACCAGCCCCGGGGCTGTGAGGAGTGAGGCACGGAGAAGCAAACCATCCCCTCCCCATTCGCCGCTTGAACTTACTTGAGGTTATGGACATTGGTGCTGGCTCTTCCTCTTCACTTCCCTGCCCCTGTCCCCTCTACGTCCCCAGAGCCCTGCAGTCTCTTTCTGGATCGTTCTCATGACTAGCGACCCAGAGTTCAGATGATGTAGCTTTTTGAGGTCCCAGCAGGAAGCAGATGGTTTGCTCAGAGTGGGTGAATGAAGGGTGGCTGGTGAAGGACTATTTACAAAGGTGTGGGCAGGGTTAAAGAAAACTCACGGGGGACGGTGAAAACACGAGAGCTAGCAGCCAAGGGAGCCCTTCCACTCCTGGGCCTGAGCAGGTGAGGAAGGCAGGTACGGGAGCTGGGAAGAGGGGAGCCGCAAGGACAGGGCTGCCCGGCGGGAGCTGCGGCTTTTAGGAAGGAAGGCAGCCACCTCACTGCAGCCCCCAGGAAGGAAGCCAAGGGGATCACACTCCCCCGCACGCTCCTCCCAAAGCCGGAGGCAAGGGAGCCCAAGGATTCCATGCATGGCTTGTGCCTCCCGGGGCCCAGGGTAGGGGGCAGAAAGTTGGAACATGGATGGGGAGGGGCAGATCACGAGTTGGTCCTGAAACGAGGTTCAGAGCGCAGGTAGCTGAGAGCTTCAGCCGGAGGAAGCAGGCAACATCCCGGGACAGGCCAAGGTCACGGTCACCGTACCCATCGCCCCTGATTCCCAATATGCGGTCCTCTGGTCCCCAGACTGCTGTGACCCCAAAAATGTGTAGATGCACAGGAGAGAGAGACAAGGGTCATGAGAGTTCATCTAATCACCCACTGAACAAAAAGTGATTATGGACCTACGTGCCAGGCACTGTATTAAGCATGTGGGGGTACCGCACTGAACAAAACAGGGCTCTGGCATCTCGGTGCTGACATCCCAGTGGAGAACAAGGGGGTCAGAGAAGGTCACAGAAGGTTCCATGGTGTCTGCCTGTGGGAGAACCTGCTGGGGTGCAGCTTAGCTGTCCGGGCAGGGGGGATCAGCCCCGACAGGTCCGAGGCTGTGCCCCTCACACCCTGTCTTCGACGATTCAAGAACAAGGTCAACCTCCGGTCCGTGTGTTCTGAAGTCTTCCAGAGAAACCAGGCTTGTGCATTGAGTTCCATAACCATCAGAGCTTCCTCCCGGCCTTGGGGCTCTGGCAGTGCCCCCCCGCCCCGGTTGGCAGATCCACAGGCAGGTGTGCGGTTGGAGGGGTCACCACTCCACATCCAGGGATGCCCGTCCGCCCTGCCCTGTGCCTGGTGCCCCTTTTCCAGGCTCCGCACTTTCCCATCAGGTGGCTGATTTCTGGGCTAAGCCCGGCAGAGCTGGTGTGAGGGCTGTCCGGAGGCCATGGTGCGCCTGCGAGTGAGTTAGAAGGAAGTGTCCATCCTCTAGACAGACACAGGTTCTCGCCAGGGCTTGATGTGGCCACGACGCATGGGCTGGACCTCAGCCCCGGCTCGTCCTTCAGCTCTGGGCAAGACCCAACCCGCACCACTGTCCACAGCGACCCCAGCTGGTGTCTGCACATCTGGAGCTTGGGGATGAGCCCGTGTGGCAAAGGACGGGTACACACATGACTTCCGTGTGCAGGATGGATGGCTCTGAGCCAAGTCTGACCTCAGGGACCTCAGAGGCCCTGGGCTTCCTCCTACCCGGCCCTTCCAACCTGCCTGCAGAACGAGAACATCTAGGGGGAGCTGATCCCAGATTTTTCTGGCCAGCATGGCTCAGAGGCATGTTTCCAAAGCCCACGGGAAGCCTCTTCCCAGAGCCTGTGGCTGCGAGAAGGCAGAGGAAGGAGGGGGAGGTGCTAGAGAGAAGAGCTTTATTTAATGCCCCCAACAAAGCCCCCTCTGTGAAGCAGGGCACACACTGGTGGGCTTACAAGAAAGGAGACAAATACTGCCTTCAGAGGCTGAGAGGCCACAAACTGGCTCAGCTGGCTCAGGAGTTGGCGCCTGCCAGGGCTCCCGGGCTCACTGTCCCCTGCTGGGGCCACCAAGGGTCTGTGTAGCCAGGATTTCTACTAGGCTGGGAGACCTGCAGGCACGTCAGGCAGGCTGAGCTTGGGGCTCCTCCCGGTGCCCCCCAGCCAGACGCTAAGGAAGAGGGACCCAGGTCCCCAGAAGCCCCTCAGAAGCGCAGGGAGTGTATTCTTTTCCTAGGGCCACTAGGATCAAGTACCAAAGCTAGGTGCCTTCAAACAACAGGAATTAACTCTCTCACAGTGTGGAGGCTGAAGTCTTCAAGGGGTGGTGGCCGGGCTGCGCTCCATCCACGGGGCCCCAAGGAGCAGCTGTCCTTGCCTCCCCCAGCATCTGCGGCTCCCAGCTCTCCTCGACTTGGGGCCACTTCACCCTTTTCTGTGCCTCTGTGTTCACACTCCTGCTCCCGCGTGCACCTCGTCTTCTGCCTGTGTCTCTCCCTCTTCTTACGAGGACACTTGGCCCTGGATTTGGGACCCACCCTAATCTAGGACGGTGTCATCTTGAGATCCTTAATTTAATCACATCTGCAAAGACCTTTTATCCAAATACAAGTCACATTCGTAGGTTCCCGTGGTTAGGACTCGGTCATATCTGGGGGCGGGAAGAATTCAACCCCCACCGATAGGTAGTACTACTCTCCCAGTTTATAAAACAAGGGACCGACGTCAGAAGTCCGCTGCCCTGGCCATCCCCCTAGTCAGTGGGGGAGCAAACGTGCAGATCTAGCTCTGCTGGGCAGCGAGGTCCACGCATGTCCCACTCTGTTTAGCTACCTCCTCCTCTGTGACCTCGGGAGGTCCCGTGCTTCCGCGTCCCTGTCTGTCATCTGGGCATGATGACAGTGTGAAGACGCTAGAGAGAAAAGCTGTCCCTTAGGAAGTGCGTGCTATGGCCAGGCTCTGGGCTAAGTCCCTTCTTTGTACAAAACCAAGCGTAGGATGTAGGTACTACGGTGAACTGCTTTCTACAAATGGGGGAGCTCAGTTTTAGGGGAAATGATTTGACCAGAGTCCCATAGCCGGCATGTCCCGGAGCAGACCCAGACCCACACCCACCTGAAGCCAAAGCCTGTGTTCTCAGCTACCCATCAGAGCTGCCTCTTGTGGACACTTTCCACTTTCCAGCCTTCCAGAAGCTTCTTAGCGATAGTGTCCGTGAAAGGCTCGGTGGGCTGTGAGGTCTCATCTGAATGGAAGGCAGACCAGCATTTTCATGGCTGTCATTGTTGCTCCCGGATGCCATTGAGGGGCTCTCCCGCCTTCGGGCTGGCAGAAGTGTGACCCACACCCAGGGAGAGCCTAAGTGAGCTACGGGCAGACGCGACCCCAGGCCACCCGGCATCCTGCAGGGAGCGACCAGCAGGCCTGGGCCATCACTTGAGTCTGGTTCAGCTGCCCCCACCCGGCTAGCTCCCAACCCACCATGGTCTCCAGGGCCTGATGGGAACCTTCAAGGTCAGGGGAAGGGCCCCGAGCTTCAGGGCTCCGGGCCAGTGCCCGTGGCCATGCCCGGGGTGGTGGCCCCTCTCACTGCTCTGCTCTGTCTCCTGCCCGTCCCAGGCATCGTGCGCGCCTCCAGCGTCTTCCCCATCCTCAGCACCATCCTGCTACTGCTCGGCGGGCTCTGCATCGGCGCCGGGAGGTTCTACAGCCACAAGAACAACATCGTCCTCAGCGCAGGCATCCTCTTTGTGGCTGCAGGTGAGCTGCCAGTTCTGTGCCCCCTGCACAGGGTGCACGTCCTGGTATGTGCACGGGGGGCAGGGCAGGTGTAAAGTCACTTCCCGTAATTGATTTCAGACATCCAGGTGTGAGGGGGGCCGGAGCGGAGAGTGGGGAGCAACTGCTCAACGGGCACGGGGTCGCCTCTTGGCATGATGAAAAATGTTCCGGACCTAGACAGTGGTGGTGGGTGCTCAACATTGTAGATGAGGCCAATGCCACTGACTCGTGCACTCTAAAGGGTTAATTTGTGTTCTGTGAAAAACATAAGGAAGTCCAAGTGTGCAAAGTGCCCCAAAGGGGCAGTGCTGTTGCCTCACAAGCCTGTGAGGGGGAGGCCTGGCTGAGTTGGGGGGCGGGGGCGGCGGGCAGGGAGGTACCCAGAGGGAGTCAACGAAGCCAGGACCTGAAGTAGCCGACCAGGTGAGGACAGGGTGAAGGGGGTATGGAACTGCCACTGCGACCCGTGAAAACCCACAGAGCTGTGGGCGACAGTGACGCACCCCTTGCCTACCTGGCCCCAAATGGCTTCACCCTGTCACCCCTCTGAGTCTCGGTGGAGACACTTCAGCGCCTGTCTTGCCACTGCAGACATGGGAGAAATCCAGGGCGGAAGTGGGTCTCAGAGCTGGTCCCTGGCCGGCAGGTGCATATACACAGTCCAGGACAAAACCCCGGGTTTTCTGGCCTGACTCTCTGGGGGAGCCTTGAGGGGGCACCTGCCAGGGCAGAATTTGGCCGGTGGCATCCTGGAGGCTCCAGGCAGCACCTGTGGAGTTCAGATAAACTTGCAACAAGGGTCTCCCTGTCAGGAGAAACAGGACCTGCCTGCTGTGTTAGGCCTTCTAGTACATAAGTTTGAGATATGTTACAAAGTTCAATGGTTCTTTTTCTTAAAAGATTTTATTTATTTATTTGAAAGAGAGAGAGAGAGCATGAGGGGTGGGGGGCAGAGGGAGAGGGAGAAGAAGACTCCCGCTGAGCAGCGAGCCTGATGTGGGGCTTGATCCCAGGAACCTGGGATCGTGTCCTGAGCCGAAGGCAGGCGCTCAACTGAGCCACCCAGGCGCCCTGAGTTCAGTGATTCTTTCCTCAGTTGTTATCATAGCTCCTTGCAAGGCCTTAACAGTGCTCTTGCTTTCAAAGCATCTTTTTTCTTACCCCAGTCTGGTGAGGCAGCCCTAGCTTGACCTGAGCTCTGCATCCTAAAACAGCCCAGCAGTCCCATGATGGTGACAATGAGAATCCAAGTAACGGCGGTGGTCGCTGGTGGTCCTTGGTGGTCAAGCTTCCTTCGCTGAGGACAGCGGTGGGGGGGCTGGAGGGGGGCTTGGAAGGGCCTCACAGTGCCCGAGCCCATCTTGTCCTCTCTTCATGGTTTCTGTGAGAGAGGGAAGGTGACTTCAGGGTCAAAGCAGTTAAGGGACTGGCTCAAAATCTTTCAGTCAGCTTCTTAAGCTCCTTCCTCGACATCACTTCTGCTTCTGTGTCCTTCCAAGGCAATAAATTGTGTGTGTGTGTGTGTGTCTGAGAGGGCTGTATGTTTGTCAGGGGTGCAGGGTGTCCGTGTGTGTGTGTGTGTGTGTGTGTGTGTGTGTGTGTGTGTGTTGGCCAGGAGAGCCTGAGTGTAGAGTCTCCTTCTTGGCCAGGTCTCCATCCCTCTCCTCCTTGTCCCCTCCAGGGGCAGAGGTGGGAGGAAAGGGGTATACCCCATTCTCTCTCCTCCTTTGAGCCCCCAGATTTCTGAAGACGTGAACCGTTAAAGAAGTCCCTGCCATGAGGTTTGAGTCCCGTCCCCTTTCCTTTCCCCAGGAAGGGAAAGAAGACTTGCACCAACACCAGCTACCACATATTAAGGCCATGTGCCAAGTGCTCAGGGAGCACAACCACAGCATCCCAGATTCTGACGAGGCCGTCAGGTGGCCCAGGTGGCTTCCCTGAGGTCACATGGTTGTAGAGACACAGGCTGTGCCCAGCGCTGTCAGCCTCCAATATAAGGTGCGCTATGCAGCTGCCCATCTCCCCAGGAGGAACCATACAAAGCCATATCCAGAGGCTCCAGGTCACCAGAGGCGCTGTGGAGTCCCAGGCCCAGGGACACTCAGCTAAAAACAGGGGTCCAGAGAGGAGAGGAAGCAAGGACAAGGAGCAATCACGGCAGGCAAGCAAGGCGATGTTCATTTGTTCCTGTTTATTCCCTGGTTTATGGAAGCTTTGATCTTGGGCCAAGGCAGTGGCAGGCCAGGGCTCACGCATAGGGACCCCAGCTCCAGACCACTCCAGCCCCAGCAGTGAGGCGCGATGGGCCCCTAAAGCATTTGAGGCAGAAAATGGTCAGAGCCTGGGGACAGGTATGGTTCAAAGGCTGGGAGAGCCTGGGGCACACCATCCACACTGGGATCTCCACAATAGGTGAATGGACAAAGGACATGGCGGTGCATAGACTGTACAACACATTACTTCACAATGAAACACAATGGGTTATAATAGAATGTAAAAGCATGCTCACTGTGTGCCAAGCGCTATTATAAGTGCTTTGCATATATTAGCTCATTTAATCCTCACATCTGCCCTATGAAGCGCATACCACTGGGATTCCCACTTTGCACGTGAGAATTCTGAGACATGGGAAGTGGAGTAATAAATTATAGGCTGTTGAGACATTTTGGGCGGGGCGGTGAGTCTGAATTCAAAACACAACATGGTACCCTGGGTGGATCCTGGAACAGAAAAAGAACATCAGTGGAAACCCCAGTGAAATCCAAGTAAAACCTGGAGTGTAGTGAGTAGTAACATACCAGGGGGATTTCCTGGTTGTGACAGACGTACACGGTAATGTCGGCTGTTCGCGGGGGAAACCGGGTGAGGAGGTAGAAAGGAGCTCTCCGTACTCTCTTCACAACTTTTCAGTATGTCTAACATCCCCAAAGTTTATTTTTAAGTTTTTTTTTTAAAGATTTTGTTTATTTATTTGAGGGAGAGAGAGAGAGCACATGAGAGGGGGGAGGATCAGAGGGAGAAGCAGACTCCCCGCTGAGCAGGGAGCCCGACGTGGGACTCGATCCCGGGACTCCATCATGACCTGAGCGGAAGGCAGTCGCTTAACCAACTGAGCCACCCAGGCGCCCCTATTTTTAAGTTTTTAAATGTACCCGATGAAGCAGCAGTTTCACGTCAAGGAATTCTTCCGGCAGGTGTAGTCACGCATGTGTGGGATGGTGTGCAGGCAAGGAAGTCCGTGACAACTCTGTCACAGCGGAGGGCTGGAAGCTCCCTGAACGTCCACGGCAGAGGCCTGGTTACATGTCTGTGCCGTGGCTGCCACATGCACTCAGAAAGACAGACAGCTCTCTGTCCTGACGTGGCACCACCTGGAAGAGTCCAGGAAGAGGCAAGGGGACAAAGAGTATTGTGCAAAGAAAAAAAATAGATGGGTGTGTGTGTGTGTGTGTGTGTGTGTGTGTGAAAGAGAGAGAGGGAGGGAGGGAGGGAGGGAGGGAGAGAGACTGGATACAACAATGATATAAGAAAGAAGAACAGGGGCGCCTGGGTGGCTCAGGCAGTTAAGCGTCTGCCTTCAGCTCAGGTCATGATCTCAGGGTCCTGGGATCGAGTCCCACATCCGGCTCCCTGCTCCGCGGGAAGCCTGCTTCTCCCTCTCCCTCTGATCCTCCTCCCTGCTTGTGCGCTCTCTCTCTTTCTCTCAAATAAATAAGTAAAATCCTAGAAAGAGAGAAAGAAAGAGAGAAGGAAGGAAGGAAGGGAGGAAGGAAGGGTAGCCACCTTCAGGAGGGGAAATGGGCAGCCAAGTGCCTGCGCTTTATTGCACACCGCATCTGAACTTTACTACCCATTCAAAACCAATTACTTAAAAGTCGGCGACCAGAAGAAAGCAACGCCTGTCCAAGGGAGTGTGGCCACCGGCCCCTCCTCTGTTTGTCCAGCTGCGGGTCTGACCTCTGCCTCACTCCCCCCCCGACCCCCTTCTGCTTCCCTTTCAGGCCTCAGTAACATCATAGGCATCATCGTCTACATTTCCAGCAACGCAGGTGACCCAAGCGACAAGCGTGACGAAGACAAAAAAAACCATTACAACTACGGTTGGTCTTTTTACTTTGGAGCCCTGTCCTTCATTGTGGCCGAGACCGTGGGTGTCCTGGCTGTAAACATTTACATTGAGAAAAATAAAGAGTTGAGATTTAAGACCAAACGGGAATTCCTCAAGGCTCCCTCCTCGTCTCCCTACGCCAGGATGCCGAGCTACAGGTACCGGCGACGGCGCTCACGGTCCAGCTCCAGGTCCACCGAGGCCTCTCCCTCCAGGGCGGCGTCCCCGGTGGGCCTGAAGATCACCGGGGCCATCCCCATGGGCGAGCTGTCCATGTACACGCTGTCCAGGGAGCCCCTCAAGGTGACCACCGCCGCCAGCTACAGCCCCGACCAGGAGGCCAGCTTCCTGCAGGTGCACGACTTCTTCCAGCAGGACCTGAAGGAAGGCTTGCACGTCAGCATGCTGAACCGGCGGACGACCCCTGTGTGAGCTGCCCCTTCCTCTCAGCACCGGCCTGTCCCCAGAACAGCTGTGTGTGGATCCCACACCAGGGCACCTGCCCCTTAAGACGGACCAACCGTGGATGGAAGCCAAACCCACCCCTCCCTGGTCTCCAGCAAGTGTCACGGGCTGGCTTGGCGCGAAGCCACCCGGGAGACGGGAAATGGAGGCGGAAGGCTGACTTTGTCCCCAGAGAGGGTGTTTGATGCCCCGGGATTCTGAAATCTCCTGAGGCTGCACGGCCTTGAGCGACCCCGGGGAAGACAAAATCGAGCCATTATCTCCTCTTGGAAACAAATCTTGCCAGAAGAATGGGCTTTCGGGGTCCTCCCCCCCTGCCTGGGTGCTGGGCCACCGGGGAGGGCCTCACCGGGCACACGGGGGCCTTTGGACACTGGTCCACTGCTTTCTGATCTGAGGTTCCGTGTCCGTGAGCGGGAAACGAGGAAGCCGAAACCTGCCCCCTCCCTGTCTCTCGCGCGCTCTCTCTCTGTCTCTGGCAGTGGCCGGTCCTTGAAATAACAGTGATCCTGAGGAGAAAGGCCTGCGGCCAACTGGTGCTTTGGCCTTTGCGCTGTCCTGGGGCCAGCTTCCCTCAACCTGAGGAGACCAAGGCCTCTGGAAGAATCTGCAGAGGGGGAGGCCTCTGCTGGCCGAGGGGGGTGGGGTGTGAGATAAAGGCCGGAGTCTGTTGCTGGCATTGCTGTCCGCTTGGAGAAGCTTCTGCCTCCCACGGAAAGGGCAGAACGCACTGACGGCACTTGAGAGTCTGGAAGATTCCACGGGTCCGAGGAAAGGTGGCCATACGGCCTCTTGCTGGGGTGCTCCCCACTGACCTGAGGGGCCGCTCTGTCCCTCCTCAGGGAGAGGAAGGGGCAGACCCCCGCGCCCCCCCCCCACACACACACACCCTGGTATTTGGCAACAGGAGCCTGAACTTCTGAGCAAGAAAGGGAGACCCGAGGGTAAACAGCGACCAAAAAAAAAAATCAGCTCAAACGTCTACTTCCTAAGCGGTCATTAATCCAGATTTACTGCCAGTAGAGGCCAGGAGAGCAAGTGACATTCATTTCTTCATCTTAAAAAGGCAGCAGTCCCTCCCCAGCTCCTAGGATTGTGATTCATCCTGCCACCCCCTGAAGGGCTCGGCCGAGAACGTCTGGACGGAAAGGCGCCGCCATGCTGTCCTTCCTCCTCGGGAGAGGGGCGTCCCAGCGCTGGGGGGCCTGGGAGGCGGCTCCATGTTTGATGTTCTTTCCATCCACAACCGTCCCTCCCCCTCCCGAGGCGAGCAGAGAACGTGCAAGCGGGTGTGGGTTCAGAAGCAAAACTTTCTGGAACAGGGAGCTCGCCCTCTTTTATATCAAACACGGGCTTTCTAAAGACAAATCCTTTCTTACTTTTTGAGACTTGGTAATCCGATCTCGAGCGGTCGTCTGTGGTCCCAGCAGCTGCCCTCCTTAGAAGTGACAAGCAAATTCTTACCTCAGCCACCTGCTCAGCGACCCCCCCCTCCACCCCCCTGGGCGGACTCAGCCCCTTAGGAGTTCAGATCTGGGTCATGGTCATCGCCATCCTCCTTCGCCCCCGCCCCCCCCCCGAGAGGAAATCTCCATGGGGACCCCTCCCCTGACCACCCTGGAGTGCGGGCCGGCGGAGACACGGTGTGCTGGAGGCCCCTTCGTGCTTGCTCAAAACCCCTTCCTCCCGTTGAGGTTGGCTTTGTGTGGAGGCTTGTCCAAGCATGTGCGGCAGTAAATGCTGGAGTGTCAGGGCTCGCGGCCTGCCCTGCTGGGGGCCAACCCCGCCCCCGCCCCGACCACCCTCGGCGCACCCCCGCCCCATCCAGGACACCATCGAGCGCATCAGGCTCAAAGGAAGGGGGCAAAATCTGGGAACCCATCCCCCAGCGAGGTCCCCAGGCTCTTCTGTCACTTCCCAAAGCCAGGCAGCCGTGCTGTTTCTACCACGTAAGCCACCTCCACGCTTGCGGCCCTATAGAGGTTTCTATCATTCCACGGAGAAAAGCTGTGTTCCGATGAAGCCTACCTCTTGCCCAGTCCCAGACAGAGAATGCGGGGCCCACTCTAGGGACCAGGAAAGAGTAGAAAAGAAGCAACAAAGGAGGACAGAAGAGCAGGGAGCCCCCCGGGGGTTCCTGGCCCCTCGGCCCTGGCCCATCCCCCCTGCTCACCGACCTTCGCCCAGGGCTGCCCGGGGATGTGAGACCTGCGGACTGTGCCTGCCCCCTCCCATCCCACTGCCCTCTCCAACCAGCCCCTGTGTGTTTCACCAGTTAAGCACCTGTGAATCCTGTACCTACTACTGGTTTTGGGTTGTTGGTTCTGTCTTTTTTTTTTTTTTAATTAAATAAAAACATTTTTAAAATGTTCTCTTCTTGCTGTGGGGGGGGGCAGGGGGAGGGTAGCTAGAGCTCCCCTCAAGTCTTGGCGGGCACTTAGGGCAACCAGTGTCCCTGAGTCTGGGGGGGACACGGTGGACCCTCCAGGAGAAGATGGAGGCAGGGTGGATCCTGTGCTGGTCAAGGTGGGTTTCTCTGGCTTCAACCTGGCTTTAATCGGGTTTCAGAGCGCTGGGTGGTGCCGTCCGGGTGTCTTTGCACGGATGGGCTGGAAGGTGGACAGGCCACCCCAGGGCTGCGGTGTGGGCATCCGGGCAGCGAAGCAAGCCTGGCCTGTCTTCAGAACTTTGCAGGGTGGGAGCCAGACAGACGGAACCATAGCCTCGGGGGCCCTAAGCTGCCTGGCTGCGTTTCTAAGGCGTCCAGCCTCCTTTGCCCCCCAGATTCTGAAATGATTAAGAAATAAAGGAGGGCCAAGTACCCAAATGACTGGGAAAGCCAGGCAGGAGAATGTGGCTCCAACCAGAGGCCAGATGGGACCACGCCACCTAATCTCAGGCACAGCAGCCGGCCACCGCCGCCCCCAGCCACCGAGGAGGAGTGAGGTCAGGGTCAGCGAGAGGGACAGCGTGACCCCTCTGATCAGGGCAATGTCGACATACTGTCACAGGCCCCGGCCAGTCACAACGGACACCCACTGTAAGCCAGCACCTTCACCCTTGCAGACGGGCACTGGCGGGTTGTCAGCCCTACCCTCTTGGGAGGCGGGTTGTCAGCCCTACCCTCTTGGGAGGCATGACGAGGGGATGATTGGTGTCTTCCCCTAGTTCTACCCGAGCGGCCGCCCAGGGGACTTTTAACAGCCAAGTACACGTGCCCCTGACTTCCAGGACCCAGACCGCGGGTTTTCCTCCTACAGCCCCAGGCTTTGGGGCTCCTCCTGGAACCTAGAGGCACTATACTCTGAGCCTCGAGAAGGCCTTTCTCACCCTGGTCCCAGCAAAGGGAGGGCGAGGTGCACCGTCCCCACTCTGGTGGCAGCAGGAACCCCTCCCAGCATGTCTGAACTTTTCAACCCCGGCTTTTTGACCCTCTTTCCTCCTGCCTGAGATGGGTAAGTGGGGAAACTGAGCTCCCGGACAAGCCACCAAGTACCGGCGCCAGGGGAGTTCAGTCCCCCACCCCCACCAACTGAGCCCCTGCCAAGCTCCAGGCTGATGGCTCCACCAGCCTGAGCCAACGCCACCCAGCACGAGCCCCATGGGCCAAAACTTCCCTGCCTCCTATTTATTCTTAGCCCTCAGGAAACCGGCTCAGCACGAGCTCTGCAGCCGTTCTGGTGGAATCCCATGGCAGTCTGAACGTAGTGGCAGGGTACGGCCTCCAACGTGGGGCTCACGTGGTCACGAATTTCTGCCAACTAAAAACTCTGCCACCCTAAGCTGCAGCATTAGATCCACAAGAACTGACACAAAACGGTCCCCCCTCCCCATTCTTCCCTTCACTTGCATCACTCAGAGCAGGCTACCAGCATTACCAAAAACCCTCACCCGTAGAATGGCTTTAATGCAACAGAAGTTTCCTTCTCACTCATGTCAAGTCCAACCAACGGGGCGGGATGGGGCATGCTGTGCTTCACACAGTCATTCAGAGGTAAAGACCCATCCTGTGGAGGCTCATTCAGCTTCGACATAGGCTTCCCACGTCGCCCTGGCGTGGACATCCGGCAGCCCGATGGAGGAGACAGAGGGCAGGTGATCTTGGGAATAGGGGGGTCTTGTGGGGACATTTAATGGACCAGGAAGCTGTGACTTCCCCTTCTGCTCATGTGCCGTTGGCCAGAACTCAGTAACACAGTCACGTCTCTAAGAGCCAGGGAAGATGGGAAATGTAGTCCCGCCCAGGGGAAAAAAAACCGGTTAGGCGAACAGCGGGCCAGTCTCAGCTCCCTGGTCTATGTCTTTCAGTACCTCCTTCTTTTGCCTCCCCCACCACCAATCTTTGGGGGAATGCCCCCTTGACGCTGACACTTTGGGACCGCATCCACCTCTGCGTGGCCTGAGCCCTCCTTCAGCGCCAGCGGGATGTCTGGCCTCTTCTCTGCTCCAGATGCCCCGTCTGTAAAATGGGCCCAGGCTCCCTTCTCCGGAGATTTCGGAGGAATCGGCTTGTGCTTGCGCCTTGACCCAAACGAGAACTGCAGAATCACTGGACATCATGCCCAACAGCAGGGGTAGGTACTTTAGGAATTATCTCATTTGAGGTATTCATCCTAGAAGAGGACATGAGCCCGAAGAGGGAGGGAGGGACCAAGGAAGAATAAACAGGAGGAAGGAAATCCTTTTTGAGGATGTTCACAAGGATCATGAAAGGGAGATGCCACTCGCCCAGCGGTTCTCAAGCATGGGTGATTTTGTTCTCTGAGGGACACTTGCCAGTGTCTAGAGACATTTTTGGCTGTCACAACGTGGAAGGGGGGGGTGCTCCTGGCATCTAGTGCATGGAGGCTAGGGCTGTTGCTCAACATATCACACCTTCACCGCACACGCCAGGAATGATCCGGTCCAAAATGTCAATAATGCCAGAAACCGTGCACCGGCCTGATTCTACAGCGAGGGAGACTAAGGCACTGGTGGGTGAGGTCCCTGGCGCAAGATCACCCGCGAGGTTTTGGTATTTGCGTCGACGCTGTGGACATATTAGGAAAACTCATTCGTTTATTTCCAGGATTTCCTTTCCCGCTGCGACACTTTCTGATTTTTGCCTTTTTCCTCTTCACTTCTGAGCCAGCAGTTTGGGTAACAGATAGGTTGTGGCAGAAGGAAATGGGAAAATGTCCACCTGTCCTGGGTGAGGGTGGGGGGTGCCTGGGTTTGGGGTCAAAAGGCTGACTGAATCCAACCAAACAGGCCACCGGAGATCAAGCCCAGCAACCCAGCCCAGCTTGA